AGTTGCAAAGTTGTGTCTGACCCATCGTGACCCCATGGACAATGTTCCTCTAGGCCTTCCTGTCCTCTACCATCCTCTGGAGTCCATTTAAGCTCATGCCTACTGCTTCGGTGACTCCATCCAGCCACCTCATTCTCTGTTGTCCCCTTCTTCTTTTGCCCTCAATCGTTCTCAGCATTAGGCTCTTCTCCAGTGAGTCCTTCCTTCTCATTAGGTGGCCAAAGTATTTGAGTTTCATCTTCAGGATCTAATCTTCTAAAGAACAGATAGACAATTAGTAAACACTAAGTGTTTATTAAGTTATCTATGCTCTACCCATCAGCCCTAGATTTCATAAGACTTTAGAAGTTGTAGTCCAATACATCTGAAAAGCACTAACGTCAGCTCTTGGACTGATCTGCATTGGCTTTCTCCATATTCCAGATTTGGGCTGGTCCTGTGGGGGCTTCTTGGTAGAGGAAGTTGCCTCTCGGCCAAACACAATAACCAAACATATAAGTATTAACTTAAGAGGGAATTGTAGGAAACAACAACTACGCAAGCTGAAGAAGAGCAACTTTGCACGTGCCTTGGAATATGTAAGGAAGACACAGAAGGATATAAAATATTTGACAATATTGCGGATGAAGCATTCATCACAGGACAACATTTCAGTTGAAAAAGGTCAACTGACTGTGTCCACGATGATAAATTGGCAGCGGCTGAGGTGGGATTAGTACAAATATTATATTCTAGATATTGCCTTGAAGGTGTTTCAAACAACGATTGTTGCTATGCATAAGCTCTCACAATATGTCCTGCATGACATAACATACAAGTCAAGGATAGAGAACCTTCATACTGATAAGAATTGTATTTATTTATTTATTTTAAAAAATTGGCACTGTGTCTGGGGACAGCATGTTATCATTGGAATTGGGAATGGGGGGAAATACCTAAAATATCCTTTTTGCTTCTTAAACCACTCCAACCCAGGAAAAACTAAACTCATCAACTCTTGACAGAGGACATAGACGTGAAGATTACTTAAGCTGCAAGTTTTAGGGCACCGAATTCATTCTTTGAACATTTCCAAAGCATCAACCAAGTCACCAACAATCTCATCCTCTAACTCCAGGGGACCGGAGCCTAAAATATATGAAGAACGGTTGCAGGAACTGGATATATCTAGTTTAATGAAAAGAAGGGCTAGGGGGTGACATGATAGCAGTGTTCCAATATCTCAGGGGTTGCCACAAAGAAGAGGGTGTCAAACAATTCTCCAAGCCACCTGAGGGTAGAACAAGAAGCAATGGGTGGAAACTAATCAAGGAGAAAAGCAACTTAGAACTAAGGAGAAATTTCCTGACAGTTAGACCAATTAATCAGTGGAACAACTTGCCTGCAGAAGTTGTGAATGCTCCAACACTGGAAGTTTTTAAGAAGATGTTGGATAATCATTTGTCTGAAGTGGTGTAGGGTTTCTTGCCTAAGCAGGGGGTTGGACTAGAAGACCTCCAAGGTCCCTTCCGTTATTCTATTCTATTCTATTCTATTCTATTCTATTCTATTCTATTCTATTCTATTCTTGCTCACTCCAGGTCTTTGGGTTCTGCAAAATGGGTTCTACACAATTTCTACAAAATGAATGCATATTGGGGAGCACTGCACACATAACTCATGGCCTGTCCCCCTCTGAACTAGGTTATAGTGTCATCTTGCTTTATCACTGCCTGTGGTTTCTCATCTGTGATTAGCATATTCTGTAATACTAGTCCTAATTTTTCAACAAACTATGCCTTAATATAACAATGAAAAGCATCTAAGTGAGTTTTATTCTCACCTCACCAAACATGCAGATGTGGGTAATCATCTGTTGACAGAATTGCAAACCTTTTTGATAGAATCATAGGTTGTCAGCGAAGCCAATTACTCAATTTTCTTCCAATATTCTACTATTTAACACTGTCAGCCAGAACTGAGGACACAGTAAGAAGTAATCTGATCGTACAAAGGCAGCTCTGCTTTTCTAGTCTGAAAATTTGTGAACAGTGATCTTGAGATTTGTTGTAGGTGTTGAGAGAATAAAAACAGGGTTGTCTTTGGGGAATTTGTAGGTTCAGAAAAGATAAGGCAAATCTCTAAATATACATATTAAGCGTGGGATCACTGCCAGAGACTGTATGAGGAATGTTGGGGATTTTATATGCTAAGAAAAGGTCTGGTTAAGGATTGGGGTCTATTAAGCATTTACAGTATATGTAGATTGTGAGAAGAGGGGAGAAAAATGGAATGATACAAATTTTGTTACCTGGATGGGCTTGTAGTCTAGAGGTGCATTTCTAATGATGATTTGGAAAGAACATTCTTGGTGGACCTGAGTAGCCCGTAAAAGGCAGATTGTGCAGATTGAAACCTGGTTTGTGCTTGGATTAGAAGATGGTAAAAGTTCAGGATGTTAGTCAACTGCACAGATGAGAGATGCTACCATTTTGACAATTAAAAATCCAACACTCCTTTGGTGCTGAGAACAGATGATTCTAGCCTCATTTTTTCCTGAGATTATTATTTAGTGATGAAGAGTTCTTTCACTGACATCAGGACAAATTCCTTAATTTGGCTTCAACTTGCAGGTCATATTCTCAGCATGAAGAACAATCGAATCCCCAAGATGGTAACGGATACAAAGCTAGGTAATGAGGCATGGAAAAGTTACCAACTTTGACAACTTCTGGACCAGGGAAGTCCTAGGTTTTATTGCAGAAGTCGAGCTTATCTGGAAATGTCTACCTGAGATGCTGTCTTCCTCATTCCCTAAAACTGGAAGTGAATTGTATGTACATGGCCATCTTACCATTAATAGGGAAGCCCTCGCAGAAGTCTCCTTGCTCAAGCCCCTCTTATTTTGGATGTCACCATTGCAAAGTTGAAAATTGGGAGTGCCATATAAATTCAGTATGGTTGTTTTGAGTGGAGATATATCTTTTTTCAAAGGAACCAAAACTAACCACTCAGACAATGAAAGAGTTTGGAGCATATTTAAGAAATCTGACTCAAATGGATAATTCTTCGTTGTGGGGATATTGTACATAAGGATCTTATTTTCAACAAAGCAACTGTAAACTTTAATTTCCTATTAGGTTCAGCTTTGGTCTCCACAATCTTTATCTGGTTGTTAGTGCCACCTGGTGACCAATATGGAGCTTCAAATCATGTTGATCTTCCATAAGGCTTATGCAAAATAGAGGAAATATGGGGCAGAGGTGTGAATCAAAAACATGGGTCAATATTTATCAAGATTTAGTTTGAAGATTTAGTTCAATCTCTAGAATAAATTTAGAAATGGAGGAATGCATCATGATCATAATCAGGGGATCACTGTGCTGGAAGGGACATTAAGAGGGTTTTTAAAGACCGCATTTTAAGGAGTCCAACAGGAATATGGCTCAGAACCTACATTTTGTGACAAAATTCCTTTTGTGATCTTCCCACCATCAGTTTCATCCAAGTGAGCTGTGGTAGCCAATAGCAGAATTCTTCCCTCAACTTTGTCCTTCCTAACTACCGCTTGCCTTACAAAAGGAATCTAATTTTATCTAAAGCAAGTGATGGGTTGTTAAGAGAGATGAAGGGAAAAATACAATGCCTATTAACATGAATATTATTAGACTAGCAGGGTGGAGATTTCAAACTAAGCTGGCAAGATGCAGAAGGAAGGCTTGCAGTTCGTAGATGCTATAGTAGGAATTTGCCGTTGTTTGCTGGAGTGGTCTCTTTACACTTGGCTTCTTGTTCTTGCAATCACTCATAGAATCTGATATTAAAAAGGAGGGGGTGGGATATTGAATTTACTGGGATACTCCATCCATATTTAAGATGAGGTAATATGAAGCTTCATAAAAGCTGTTTTGAACCTTCCACCATCTTTGGGGATACCATCTTTAGAAGAAATCAAAGTTCTGTGAAACAGCCTTCATCAATCTCCAGGTATGTTTGTTATACTAGACAGGGGATTCTGAGAATTGTGGCTTCTCTACACACAAGACACCAAGTTGAGGAAGAATGCTATTAATCACACAAAAGGTAGACGCTCCTGGTTGATTCTTGGTAACTGCATGTACATGTGTGTGTATGTATGTATGTGTGTTATGGCCAACAGTGCAGAAGGGTCTTTTCATTTTCTGGAATACTTTCTGACTTCTCAATTTAGTCCCATATTACCCCCACAAAGTAACCTGACAATTACAAAATCTTCTCTAAATAATTGTGGACAGGGAGAAAAGGTTACAGCAAGTGGTTTAAATCTCAACTCAAAAGAAAGGATAGGAAAATTGAGAAGGTGATTTCTCTGCCTGCCTGATGCCAAATTGAAGCAGAGCAAAACTTTGGAAAGGTCTTTTCTTAGGCTGAGGCTTCCCCGACCTCTTGCTTTGCAGAGATAGGCGCATCTGCTGTTTAGTTGGGTTTCCTTTTTCTTTTTGTGCCTTCAAGTTGACTCTTAGCGGCTGCCTAAACAAGTCCCTACAGTTTTCTTAGCAAGTTTTTTCATAAGTGGTTTGTGCTTGCCTCCTTCTTAGGGCTAAGAGTGAGTGACTGGCCCAAGGTCAAATATCTGGCTCTGTGTCTAAGGTGGGGCTAGAACTCACTATCTCCCAGTCTCTAGCCCCGTTCTTTAACTACCGGACCAAGTTGGCTCTCCTGTTGTTTAGATAACACATGACAAAACTGTTCAGAATTTGCAATTTCCCATGGAATAAAATCAGCCCCAAATGAAATAAAGAAAATGTTTAAAAGCATTAGTTTTTAAAAATTTTATTTATAACAATATCTGTTTTTTATTTTTAATGTTTTGTTTTTAGTTGTAAAGTAATCTGGCAAAAATTATTAAAACATTTGGGCCCCCTTCCCAGGGAAAAAAATGTTGAGGAGACCTCCTTCCCTCCCCCCTACATGCATGTAATTTCTACTATAAAAGCTAGTTCATCTTATTTACTTCTGATCTGATTTCATCTTTTTTTAAAAAAAAAAAAAACAGGTTGGAAAGAAATGAAAGTTGAAATAACATTTGAACCTCTTTCCCGAAATAGGAATGATGGAAATTGTGGTGATGGAGGGAGGAGGGGGGAAGGTCAGAAAAGGGGGGAAGAAATGGGACCTTTGTTGCAATTCACAATTTGTAAACTCTGCTTAGTCTTAAGACACAGACACTAAAATAAAGTGAGATACAGTCAAAGTAATAATTCTCCAAAAAGAATACGATTTCTGGAAATAAAATGCTTTTTGGGGGAAAAAAATTAGTGGAGAGGTGAAAAGATACGAGAAAACCAGTTTGGTTGGTGGCTGATGGGATAAGAGTAGATTAAAATCATACTGGTAGAAAAAAAATGATTAAGGCGTTGCAAAGAGAAGATTAGACTGGCTGGGTGCTGAGAGAGAAAAGGCCATTGTTGGAAATACAGAGGAAAAACTGCTGGGGGGAAAAAAGAATAAGAATGCACTTGATGGGAAGAACATTTACACCAGTGGTTCTTTAATTCAATTCTTAGGTAGCCAAAAGGGCCTTTTGTGGACTTTCGGGTGATCTGCAAGGGCCTGATGGAACACAGGGAACGTTGAAAGGTTGGTTTGGAGTTTTTCTTCTCTTTTTAATGACAAATGGTCAAATTAAGAGTCAGCTCCTTTTGCTCACTGAGCAAATGGAACAGCTGCACGAAAGGGAAGGAGAAGCAGGCCAGGATAAGCTATTGCCACGTCTGCGCACTGCAGAGAACTCTGCTCCTTAAGACATTCTGATATAAGGCTTGGTTTTTGTTTTGTTTTTTACAAGAATTTGTTCGCATAAAGTAGGTTACATCCACAGGTTACTCTGGGATTTTCCCAACCCAAAAGTTTGTGATGGATGTGCAGCTACTGACCCACTCCCCATTTTCTTCCCCAAATGGATCAATCTGCGAAGGGAGGGGAGAAAGTAACGTTCAAGTTGCCTTGCACATTAGGGGCAAATGAAAATGAGCAAACTTAAAATCATGGTTCCCTCCCCCAGTGCCCCAGATTTAAAGGATCACTGGTGTGCCTGTCATGGGTACCTCTTGTCCGACAAACCTACATTGAGCCATTGTCAACATTGGGATCATATTGGGATCCACATTCAGCGAAACCAAGTTTCAGTGTGCATGAGAAGGAAGGAAGACGTTCCCCCTTCCCTACAGGTTTCAAACATGCACTTTTCAATATGGTTCATCTCCGACTTCTGGCAAGAGAAAGTCTTCCCCAAACATGTCCCTGGATTCGTCAACAGCATCCTGAGAAGGGTGGGAAACTATTGCCAAACTTTTAAAAGGCTAGCAACCTAAAGCTGCCTGCAGAAGAAGAAGCAGAAGTGGATTGTTTTGTGCAGCAAGCAAAAAGATCCAGCCCTTTAACCTAAAGTGGGGTCTTCTTACAATTCTCCCCCTATTCCCTACATTGCCTTAACATCAATCAAACCCCCCTTCCCCAAGTCCAGTGACAAGAGATTCAGCGGCTGGTAGATGAAAGGGAATATACAGGTAATAATACTGCTCACATATAAAAGTAATAATCCTTCATTTGTACATTTATACAGTATCTCTTGCTCCCTCCCCATCTGGTCTCTTTCCATCTGGTCTCTGTCTTGGGCTGATGGCCCATTCCCCTATTCCTTATGCCAGGGGGTTGCCAAGGTCATCATCTGCACCTCTCGACAGCAGCTCCCGCTTTTCGTCTGTGCTGGCTAGTGAATTGCGGCTGTTATGGGCGCCCATGTAGAGTGTGGCGTACACTGGGTTTGTGAAGTTTGTGGGCTAGAGGAGAGAAAGGGAAAAAAAAGAGAGTAAGAAGTTGGTTGGGGAAAAGGACAAAGCCAGCTTCCCTGAGACTTCATCTTTATATTGTCCCCAGCATCATCACTATCTCAGAGAACTATTGTTCCTTTCCTTCTCAACACAGTACGGCAACAGCTAGCGTGGCTTTAAAAAGGTTTGGACGTCATGGCAGCAGAGGTGGGTTGCTCCCAATTCGGCCCGGTTCAGCTGAACCAGCAGTGGGATTCAGGCCTGGGTTGCAGAACTGGCAATGACCCAGGCCTGCCACGCGCCCAAACCCGTTCCTTCGCTGCCGCTGGGCGACTGCCATTTTGGTTTTTAGTGACTGCGTGTGCACAGTTCACTGTAAATTGTTCTGCGCATGCGTGTGTGCATCTGGCGCAACGCGGGTTGCAAACCGGTAGTAAAAGCGGCAGCAATCTACCCCTGCATATCAGTGCAGCACCTTTCTCTACTCATGAAGGGAACATTATTTCTCCATAATACTTGTTTTTTTTTTAAAAGCTTTTTTTAGCTGGTGACACTCTTACATCAAAAAGTTTGACAAAAATGGAGCTGCTTTCATGAACGGCGGACAGGTGCTGGGCTCATGAACATTCAGGAGCACTTCTTCCAAATTAGGTGTGAAATCCGTGCATCCTTTTTATTTATTTATCACTTAGTTGAGCTGCCCCTCTGACCAAAAAGTGACTGAGTGGCGTACAACATTCAGTGAAAAGGAAAGCCAATCAATTATTGCTTAGCAGTAATAATGCCTGGAGAGATGGCCTGGATCATTTCAACGAAGGGGAGACCCTCACAATCCGAAACTCAAGACTTTGGCCAAAGTTAATGGGTGTCCCACGCTGTATCTGGTTGGCTCCCTTCCCCCATTTTAATTTGGTCATCCAAAATGCTAATGGAAAAATGCATTGCTCAAATTGTTGGGCTTTGGGGGAATAACAAAGCATATTACCAATTGTCTTTTTTGAAGTTACTATAAAAACACACCCTAATACTAAACCCTATTGTATGGTTACGAATGAAAGTGGAAAATGAGGCTACTTAAGTTTCTCCAGTTCCCTGGTTCACGTGCAACCATTCATGGGTAGTTTAAGGCTAATATTTCTGCCCAAACCTTGGAAAACTGCTAACCATTCAGTTAGTGAGAGGCTATAGGCAAACGGGATATTAAGCCTTAAACCCAGAGCCAGTAGATGGCAAGGCACCCCCAATTTCCCCAGATACAGGCTACAGAAACACTAAATGAAAACTCCTTTTTAAATTGCAAATGTAACATATTGAAAGTAGATGGGGTGAAATTATTGAAGATTTGCAAGCTTATGGTCATTTGAAAAGAGCTATCTATTTTCCAACCCACACAACATCGTTGTGTAAAAATCACACAACGGCATTTGATCTCTATCTTCAAGGGTGACCCTTTTAATCCATGAAGACTTTGGGATAGGAAGGGAAATGTTGCGCTCATGTCACAAAATGTGCAGTTGCCTTTGGATATTAATATCAGTTATAGGTAGTTCTCGACTTATGGCCACAAATGAGCCCCAAATTCCTGTTTGCTAAGTGAGACATTTGTTACGTTTTCCCCATTTCATGACCTTTCTTGCCACAGTTGTTAACTAAATCACCGCAGTTGTTAAGTAACGAACCAGGTGGTTAAGTGAATGTGGCTTCCCCACTGACTTCGTTTGTCCGATGGTCACAAAAGGTGACCACATGACCCCGGGACACTGCGCCCGTCACAAATATGAATCAGTTGCTAAGTGTCCGAATTTTGATCACGTGACCATGCAGTCGTAAGTCTTTTTTTCCCCAGTGTCATCGTAACTTTGAAGTTCACTAAAAGAACTGTTGTAAGCCGAGGACTCCCTGTTTAAATTATCATCAATCCTACAGATTGGGTAATGCGGCTTTCCCAGGCACAAAATTCTCATATAATAATGGTGGTGCACAACATCTTTATGCAGTCTGGGGTCCCACTTCCCCTTCCAAACCTTATCGGGGTCCAGAGCGAAGTCGGCATCTAGCAGCTCCCCTACATCATCTGCGTCGGGGTCCCCCTCGTACATCTTGTAGGTGGGATTGCCAATCTCCACGTTCATGGCTCCGTTGGTCATGCGCTGGTGCTGAAAACCTTTGGCCCTGGATGAGAGACACGGCAGGTCAAACACCCATGGGTAGGCATGGATGCAAGCAGACGGCAATGCAGCATTACTGAGCAGGACCTGAACTGTAAATGCTAGGGAGGTGGGGCAGAATTATGTACTAACTCAGCGATTGTGCTTGTTGTGTTTGTTGAGATAGTTTAAACGTCTTCAAGGAATGTGTGTAAAAGGATAGGATCTTTAATCCCTTCTGCATGTATTGATTTTGCACTGTAAATATCTTCACCAGGGAAAAATGTTTTGTGTTTTCTG